GGGCGGGCCAAATTCTCTGGGCGGGCAAAGCAGAGAAAGGGGAGGTAACCTTTCCCCGTATGACGACATAAAGGGAAGATTCCGGATTGGGCCATCTGAGCTTTCATTTTCTCAAAGGCAAAGCAGGATACCCAGGGCTCGGTTTACACCTATCGCCATTTCTAGTCACTGGGGGACCATAGGCAGGCTAGGGGAACTCATATTAATGTTAAAAAACCTCATAAAGTGACATTTTCATGCCATGGGACCTTTAAGTTTTAGTTTGATTACATTTAGTTTTTCAACTTATTTCAGTTAGTTGCTAGGGCAACATTTCTATTTTCTAATCTTATAATTAAGAATTTTTAAGTCTTTTATCTAATAAATATTATTTTATATCAGCGTTATTCTAATTATTTTTAATAGTTTTAGTTGTAGTTAACAACAACAACAACACTGGTTAGGGCAGACTTTTTTTTTTTGTACAGTCAGTCGATTTTGTCGAAGCAACATGATTACTGAAAATAAGTTCTTCTGTGTGAGTATCTAGGCCTGGAATATCACTAAACAAACGTTTGCATACACAAACCACACGGTTCTGCCTGAAGCTCTGGAGCGCTGGCCGGTCGAACTGATGGAGAAACTTTTACCCCGACACCTGCAGATCATATACAGGATCAACCAAATACACTTGGATGTGAGTACACTTACAGGAAACTCAGGAAAACTGCATTTACTTTATTATTTATAAGCCATTATCCAGTTGAAGACAGCTCTAATGGTCCAAGTAGAGGATTTGTCAATTTAAGTAAACTTTTGTGGATGAATTTGCACACTTACATTTAGAGCAGCAACCAAATTAATGTTTTTGTATGTATATGTGTGTGTGTGTGTGTATGTGTGTGTGTGTGTGTGTGTGTCTTTGTAGCATATAGCATCTCTGTTTCCAGATGATATGGATCGAATCTGCAGGATGTCTCTGATCGAGGAGGAAGGGGGAAAGAGAGTAAACATGGCTCATCTCTGCATTGTGGGCTCACACAAAGTCAATGGAGTTGCAGAGATTCACTCCGACATCATCAAAAGAGACGTGTAGGCTTCTCTTTCTTGCTCTCTTACATACATACAATGCTACAATGTTTTTTTTAACTGACTTTAAATTTTGATCCTTTAGATTCCGAGACTTCAGCGAGCTTGAACTGGAGAAATTTCAGAATAAAACAAATGGCATCACACCACGACGCTGGCTGCTTCTCTGCAACCCAGGACTCGCTGATCTGATCGCAGAGGTCCAACACACACAGTGTTTTTATAACATATTTTTTCAGTTTCCAAAAAAAAAATTTTCATATGTGTTGTTTGTGTGCTTATAGGCTATTGGTGAAGAGTATGTGAAAGATCTAAATCAACTGCAGAAGCTGAATGATCTGGTTGACTACGATGCTTTCATCCGAGATGTAGCCAAAGTCAAACAGGTTAGAAAACACACACTCCTCCCATGTCAATAAATTTGTAGATCTTATTAATCTAGGAGATAATGTCTTTGTTTTTTCCTCCTCTTTATATAATTGTTCACTACTTTTGAGGTACTTTTAGGCATTTCTGACATTTCTGAAATTAGTCAAAAGATTGGGTCATTTTAATTCTTAGTGAGTTCCAGTTCATTTTTGGCGCGTTTCATTGTGTGTGTAGGATAACAAGCTGAAGTTTGCACAGTATTTAGAGAAGGTGTACAAGGTGGACATAAATCCCGCATCCATGTTTGATGTCCATGTGAAAAGAATCCATGAATACAAACGACAGCTGCTCAACTGCCTCCACGTCATCACCATGTACAACCGTATGTTCAGAAACGCAAACACACACTCGCACACATTAATTAAGCTGTGTCATTTTATTTAATGTTTTAGATACTCCTTTAACTAAACAATGAACATTTTGTAATTATTGACTTATCTTTGGCTGACTTTCTTCTGTGCAACACAAAATAAGATACTGAAGAATGTTTCAACTGTTTCACACACAGGCATCAAAAGGAGCCCCATTAAACCGTTTGTACCACGGACTGTGATTATCGGTGGAAAGGTAAAACAAACAACCTTTTCTGAACACACTCACATGCACTGATTTGCAATATGTACATGTTCAAAAGGTTTAGGGTTAGTAAAATGATTTAATGTTTTTCAAAGAAGTCTCTTATGCTGACCAAGGCTGCATTTCTTTGATCCAAAATACTGTAAAAATATTATCACAATTTAAAACAAGCATTTTCTATTTTAATATATTTTAAAGGGGTCCTATTATGGTCTTTTACAAAGTCTTGATTTTGTTTTGGGGGTGTACTAGAACAGGCTCTCATACTAGGTTGTTCGAAAAACACATTATTTTTCACATATTTTACATTATTACAACACCTCTCTCCCCAGTCTGGCATGAACGACTCGAATAGTTCCTGTATCAAATGAAGGCCCACCTTCTGAAATACGAAATGTGCTGTGATTGGTTAGCTGGGGCAGTGTGTGTTGTGATTGGCAGCACTCGGCGGCTGGTCGGGAAATGTCATGCCCTTTACCATAGCCGCCTGCAAGCTTCAGTGTAAATATTGCGTCAAAATCAAATAAATTTGAGCGTGATTTAAACCCGGATGATTGTAACCACTCTAAGTTCGTCTGCCTTGGGAAAGCTAGCGTGTCTCCGACATATAGTGATAACACTCGTTGCCTTCTCTAGTGCAGCTCAAACCAGGTCTCATCCCATTCGTCGATATTTGTGATATCACAAATCCCAGAAAATATGCATTGTAGTCCAAACGAGTCATTCGTTGTAGTTTTTGAAGTGATTTCTGTTAAATAAAATATCTC